GTCCATTACGTTCGTTCCCGGAAATATAGACCTGTGTCATACGCCAGTTGGCATATTTGAGAACTAACAATGTCTTGTCAGCGTCATATTTTGACCAATGACGGAGTGGTACAGGTGAATGTCGCCAATCTTCAAACTTCGAAAAAATCCGCTTCGAAAAAAAATAATCCGCTGTTATATTTTGTCGAATATAGATCGGCCGAATTTAAACAGAGTAGAAATAAAAAAAGGTTGTATAAAATATTCCCGAGTGTACTATCCCGTCAAAATCGACCAAACCGTTACGGAGATTGCTCGGAACAAACGTGACTTGAATATCGATTTTAACTGGATTTTGAGTGAAAGGTAGCTGATGCACGCGGGAATGTTATAGACGACCATTTTTAGTTCAATTCGTTTTTTATATAAAATGCTATGAAACTTTTCCCTCCACCTAATACAGATAAAAAAATTACCCTCTGCTATACATACGTCCTCACTGAAGACTCGGAGCCTACCCTAAGTTAGGAGACTAGGCCATAGTCAACCACGATGGCCCAGAGCGAATTAGTTACCTTTACACGTTTTCTTGAATTGCTTCGCCAATATATATTTATTGCAACCTGCATAGGTTGCATCATCGCGATGTTTTCCTCCATCGTAAGAACTAGTAAATTATGTAAATTATGAGTAAATTATATACATGTGAAATTCTATAAATCGAAATTCACAGTGGAACATGGCGGGAGTACAAGTCAGGTACTTAAACACCTGAGCCACCGACGCTCCAGTTGGTTAATAAGAAAGTGTTTATCTTTTCTACAGATTTTATTGGACGTATTAGTTTTTGCTGCCTTTTCACATAGAAAATCGACGTACGACTTTTCTCCAGACGGACTTGGTTTGGTAACCATTGCTTTCACGATTGGTTTCGTCATAGCTCTCTACATCATAGATCTCGTAAGTTCAATATAATTATTGTTATCTAATAGTTAGATAACAGTTTCCATTTGTTTGTCCTTTTCGTTCATTGTATGGAGTATACCTACCTTTTGACCGACTTCCTAAAAGAAGGAGGTACTCAATTCGTCTGTATGTTTTGTTTTTTTGGTTTCTTCTTTTCATCGTTCCTTGTGAGTAATATAATAGATAATATTTGCGTTTAAAAATCGTCGTCTCGTAAGTAATTTTCCAATATTTTATCTCTTTTCAGTATTAATTTAATGAGAGAATTAGATTCTCTAAACCTTAAGTTAAATCTGTTTCGCTTAGATTTAATCAAGTTTAAAATTATCTTTCTATTTCACAGATTCATAGAACGGTTGCAAGTTATATAGTTCGAAAGGAAAACCATAAAACTTACATGTCGTACAGCCGGTCCCTTGCAAAACACATCTATGTAATGTGTTTCTCTCTGCCTATGATAGTACTTGCAAACTATGGATTTCAAGAAGTAAATATGTACATTTTTGATTGATTTAAAAATGATTTATTTATCAGCGTGGCTTATGATCTTCCGTGGCATTATAAGTATCATTTGCCTTGTGTACTATTCGTAATTATACTCATACTCACTTCTATTATCGCGCTAAAGAGCCACCGATTAGAAATAAACACGTGTATATACATGTCGGAGTGACGAGCAGTGTGCCGAAATAATTCCGAACATAAATCAGAGGCACTTAACAGTATGTTAAAACTATATGCTCCTTTTTGTAATCGCGGCCATATTGAGTATTTTATAGCCCTTTCATTTGTATCAACGTTGTATATGTGCCATGCGCTACTTGCACTAGTCCAAGGGACGCCAATGTAATAGTCACTTTTGAATTTCACAGACAGTTTTTGAATTTCTACTGTGGCGAGGATACAAAAAAGATTACGAAAATCTATTAGATGATACGTGCGCGATGACATCGTGCAGTAATACTCTTACCATTGCATTTACAATTACTCTACTTCTAAGATTTGGCATATTAAGAAAGTTGTCACTTCACTCAAGGTTTGTTAAAAATGCGAATATTATCTTCTATCTTCTATATACATATCTATACTTATAAAAAAATTGGAGTGTCTGTTTGCAATATCAAAATAAAAATTCCAGATTTCGGAAAGATGATGTATTTGCGTTGCTGATAACGAAAAGCGCATTTAAAAATTTTATCTGTCTGTCTGTCCGCAAGCCGCGTTAGTTCTGAGTAATCTCCGAGACGACTGGGCCGATTTCGACGGGATTTTTACTGGAATGTAATTAATATAGATAGACATATTGTAGCCTATTTTTTGTAATTCCGTGGTGCCAAAATGACGTTGACGATGGTGCCAAACGAAGTTTGCGGGCGATAGCTCGTTCTAACATATAACGTAAATTATACCGTCCTGAGCTAGCGTACGGAGTGGACGTGTATTAAGTTAAATATAATGCAAACAAATTCGTAACACTTATTAAATTAACAAAGTTGTAGTAATATAAGTCCTTTGTGTACAACGAAATTTAACAAATTTAACAAATTGAATACCTCCTTCTTTTGGGAAGTCGGTCGATAAATATACGAGTAAAATGAGCCTGAAACATTTGCATTGCTTTTCAGTGTGACTGATTATAATCAACGAGAAATAGTCGAAAACGTTCCATGCTGGGAGAGAGAATTCGTTTTACCTCGACTGAATGAAAATATTTTAGCAAACAAAATGGCAACTCTTGGTAAATTAACAGTGTAACAATAATGCATTGGTAATACAATAATTAAGTTATTTTAAGTCATAAAATAAAATTAATTAGTTATCTTCCGGTACTCCTTACCACGTTTACCTCCTCCTCCTCCTCCTCCTCCTAATAATAAAACAAAGTCAAACTTCGTGGCCTCTATTTATTCTCTACTAGCAGTTCCCGTGCGACTTCATCCGCGGGAAATTATAAAAACTTTATTTTATTATTTGCATTTGTCAAATTCTCAATTGCAAATGTCAAAATTCAAATGCACAAATGACAACGAAGGCCTTTGACATTGGAAAACAATTACCGTACAATGGCAACCTTGCTTTCTTGATGTCAGCTTGTAGTTTATGGTCCCTTTCCCTCATGAGGGGTTTCTCCTATTTATTTACCCCTTTAGTTTACTACCTAATATATAGCCTAAAGCGTGTTGTAAGTGTAGAGCTTTTTATTAAAGAAAATCGTTATTGAAAAATATGCTGTGATTGCTGACATCCTACGCCACAAAATAGAGTGTGTTTACACTTTATTATATTAGTTTTCGCCAGCGACTCCGTCTGTTTGGAATTAAAAAAACAAAATCCTATGTGTTCTTCCACACTATCCATAATATGTAGATAAGGAATATAAGTAATAAGTATAAGTATAGATGAAATATAAATAACATGAAATTACGTTCAACGTATACCCGTTAGGAGGTAATAGAGGGGTTCATTTATTATTATTTTTTTCGAAGAACTCTAAAAAGCATTTTTTTTAACTAAAACATTTAATTGTATTTCAGCAACGCAGTTCATCTTGATAATCGCCTTTGGTTTTTCATGTCCACCCGCCATATTAATTGTATTGCTGTTCAACATCTACCACGTCAGGTTGATAACATTTCAATTTATTTAAGTTACCGTCTTTACAAGTGAACGAAATACGACAGCCGCCTATTTAGTAACCTACATATGTAATTTATCAGTGTAAAGGCATAGTGTACGATGACGTCATCGTTCACTAAGCCTTATATACGTATGTATATATGTTATACCCTTTACATTTAAATTGCTGTTTCAGACGTGACGCAACATTATTTACACTCCACTATAAAAGACCAATGTTTTTGAACAACAACGCTTTTAGCGTATGGTCTGAAATTTTGAAACTTATGGTTTACTTAGCCATCGTTGTAAACGTGAGTATACTTCTGCCTCTCTCTAAGCTCATAGTTTCGTTATTAGGCTGGGTCGACATATAAAAATTAATTACAAAAAAAAAACGAAAAACGAGATCGTGTTTACACAAGTCGATATGTTCTTAAGTAATGAAAAATCTTTTTCCAATGTAAGGTCTACATTATTTTCCAACAGAACTAACCACGATAGCAACGGTCTAGATAAACTTAAATGACCATAGTAAAATTTTCAGGTTGTGTCCTTAGTATGCTCTACAGATTTTATCGAAGCATATATACGTGAGCGCAGAATGCCGCCAATTAATTCGCTTGCAGATTATTTGGGGGTCTTTTTTATCAATTTTAAAGTAAATTTGGTAAGTTAATTTAATATTTTATCTATATCTAATGGTTAAGAAATCTAAAAATGCAAGGAGTATTTTTAGATATAATATATAATATAAGATATGATATAACACTCCTCCAAACAAGAAAGGATCTGTCGGATGTTTTCAGAGATAAACAAACTTTTTTTCCGATGCGGCCGCTTTAAATTATGGTATCTAATGATAGCATTAATCTCAATCAATTAATCATCTTCCCTTTCCCGACCTTATGTGTATTAGAATGGGGCCGTTTTTACCACAGCCATTTTCTTAGAGAGACGTAACTTTGGTAAATGGTCTACCGAAATCTTGATCTAAAATATAAACTTGGATGACATCTACACGTTGGCAAAACAAGATTCTCACTGAAGCCCTCAATGCTTCTGAAGGCGCGGTTCTGCCGAATTGTACATCTTTGAAAGCTTAGTATAGGAGTTTTAAATATTAAGCTGTTTTCTTTTTCTTGCTTCCAGGGAGAATGTTATGCTCGTGGTAATTTTTCATTTTTCTTACTAAACAATACAAATATAAACAATATACTACTAGTTACGACTTGATTATCGACGCGTTAACTTTGGAGATACAGGAGGAAGCACCCAGGTGTATGCTGTTCGCCGACGACATTGTCGAAGGCCGTCGTTGCTTTGTGGCATTTGAATTTGGACATTTGCAAAGTTCACAAATGTAAACAATAAAATAAAGTTTTTAGAAGTTCATGCGGATGAACCCGCACGGGAACAGCTCGTTATATAATATAATATAGATATGCATTCCTTTGTAATAAAAAAATACTACTAGCTCCCTCCCACATATCTAGCCTAGATTTTCAACTAGCGACGCTCGAATTTGTTAAATCTCAGGTTTTGACGGTAAATCTCGTAGTTCTACTTACTTATAGTATAATAGTAAACCTTTTTTTTGTATTTGTCAGCATACATTTATGTAGCTAAATCTGGTGCACCATATACGGCGAAGGATTTAACTGCTGACGAATTAAAGACATCTCAGTATATGTACATATTTACTTTTGAGGTAAGTGTATTTGATTGAGATATCCTATATAACTAATATGATATTTATCTATATTAATATCATAAATAGGAAAGATTTGGATTTTTGGATTTATGTATGTAGTTTGTAGACGTAAAAACTAGTAGTTAATGAAAAATAAATAAAAACTAGTACCTGTTTGTTATGCCAATTTTTTTAATAAGACACACAGTTCTTCAAACCAAGAAGTGATTATTCTATTTCCAATAAGTTTAAAACAAACCAATATTACCAGTGGTCTCCCATTGGTTGAAATTCGACCGTAAAAAATAATTAAATAAATTTTTATTAAGTAGTTATATGTAGGCACTTCTCCACTTTAACGGCGTCAAATTCATCCGTTCCCGAATTTTTCTCAAAAAGTGTTACAAAATCATTGCTTTCGTATACCTAAATATTATATTGTATACGACAATTGGGAAAGCATCATTGATGTATATTTTCGATCTTTAGTAAGAGCACCAATAGCAAAAGTCGTAAGCGATATTCGTGTTTTAAATTTGCAAATTTTTTCAAATGCAGGAGAGACGTTTTATTACAAAAATGTGATAAGCAGCATAATATAAAATCCAAATTAGCTTATTTATTTATTTAAGTCCAACCACAACATAGGTATATATTATACACTTACAATGAGTCAGTTCACAGTATCGTTTCTTATATATATGTAAATACTGGCGTACATACATAACATTTACTAGTACTTATTTAATTATTAGTTTTAGGTTTGCAATTCGTTAAATTTAAGGAACTTAAGTAGTTTACTTACCTGCGTGACAAAAATTATTTTACTCAAAAAATGTTTTAATTCGCAGATTATTATGGCTGCAATATACTTAATAGTGCAATTTATATTTTCAATTGACGTTGACGAAAAGGAAATACCCAAAAAACGAGTGATAGAAAATTATGATGAATAACGTACTGAAATCTGCTACGTAAGAGACTTGAGTGCGCAGAAATGTAACTTACTTCCAGTTATTATTATTATTAAAATTGTTATACAGTAAAAACATTAATATTAAAGGTTTCAATCGTTAATTCATTTTTATTTTTACTGCCCAGATTGACAAAAGGGAAATATAAATGTTAACACTAATTTAGATTTTTTTTTGTGCTTATGTAATAATAGCTGCCGCCCGCAAACTTCGTTGGTACGGGATTTTAAAAAAAGATCGTCTATTACATTCCCGCGTGCATTCACCTTCTACCAGCTACCTTTAAATGAAAGTCCCGTCAAAATCAGTCCACCCCATAGATTACAGATATGCAGCAACTATGAAAGTAATAAGTACAACGTAATACTTCGGTATTATAATTCATTATAATACCGAAACGCCGTAAGCGTAGGTTTTTAATTATTATTGTATTAAAATATTTTTCCTGCTGTTTCGATGCCCACGATACAGGCATTGCCTAGTGTGGGCATCACTAGATCAATCACATTTATCACTATTTGTATTTATCTTTTAATTGGTTATAACTTTTATTGTTAATTATTAATCTGTTTTTAATAAATTTCAATTTCAATTTCAATATCTACGTAATACGTACGTAATGAGTACTACGAACTATGTACGTACTACTTATTACTTCTATCGTAGCATCTTACTACCAAAGTGCAAATATGTGATTTTCATTCAGATAGTCCAGTAAGTAATACTACGAAATAATTAAAAAAAAAGAAAAAGCAATAAACATATAGTTTGCTTTTTCAACGTGATCTCATTGTATCTTTACTAATTCAGCTTTCCGAAGAACGTAAGTACAAAAAGAAGCAGAAAAAATGTAAGTTCCTAAAAGTATTTAAAACTTTCTTATCCAATTAATTATTTGAAAAGGTGTTTGATTTAAATAATATTTCAGCTTTTTCATAAAAACACGGCTTTTTTACACTATCTACACGGTTGGGTAAAAATTTACATTGGCAACACTGCAAATGACAAAATTTGACAGGGACAGTCTGAATTTATTCTTATAGTTATTTCCAATTTCAATTGTATTTGTATTGTGTACCGCAGATTTATCCATATTTCACTTTATTCGTCAAAATTCCTAAAAAAAATTAGAAATTACCTAAGAATAACGCATTGTATACGTTCATGATATACTTAACTATAAAATATTTTACAATTGCTAAATACCATGTCTCATGTCACAGATATAAAAGTACTTTTTTCTAGGTTGTTTTCTCTTAAAAATGGGTAAGTTGTTGCTTTTATTCTTTTCGATCTATCATATTCCATTTCTGAATTTAGAAAAAAACTGCGTTTTAGTTAGGTGACATTCTTGATCAACCCAATATTATGTATTTTATGAAATACGATACTTTTAGTGCGTGAGCATCGCCAACCGGTGATCTAGGATGAGTTTAAGGGTAGGCGTAGCAACTACTATGAAGATAATTTGTAGCAGTCTCGCATCTAGTTTACATTTTTGGATTCCTGAGGGGGGGGGAGGTAGCTTATTAATTATATAAATAGACAATAAGTATTTATGTTAATTTCAAAGTATATATTTATTTTTGAAAACCATTTAAATCAATTAATTTACTAATAGTTTAGAAAAGGTTTGTGATCCTAAGATGAATGCAAAAAAATCATATCAACAAGTATAACTAACATACTTGTCTGTTTAAAAAAAATAATCCCTTAAAGGAATTGGTGTTAATTACATAACCAACACAGACAGCCTTACAATAAATATGCCAGAAAGGGTATCAGACAATATACAGTGTATCTGAGAAACCCATGTTCAGTAAAGGAAATTGGTGTTCCAACTCAAAACTTCAATTTGACCATTTTAAAATGTAAAATAATAAAAACCAGTACAATGCAGTTTATCGATATACAAAAAAAAAAGTCAGTGTAATTTGGCTTATTTATTTATTATTATCCCTTTACACCCCTCACTGCTATCTAATTAATTATTTGTAGGAAAAGGGTTTGTCTTGGACAAGGTAACTTCGAAAAATGGAACACTGCAGATTTCTGTGACTATTATAGTGTGAAAAGATTCCTTAGTTGATAACATGAAAATTTAACCCAACTAAACTCTGCCTAAAGTTGTGTAGTTAGGTGTTACAGGCCTTCAAAGTTTGTAAATTTTATTCAAACATCTTGAAAATCCTTTATTTGCATAGACATACTAAGGCCATGTTTTTATTTGTCAAAGTGTATCTTTTTTACAACAAAACTTTGTTATAAAATTGAAAGGAAACTTTAGTAGGTGAAAATTGAAACAGTATTCAATAATATTTTTGCAACCCCCTCTACAATCTCTGTTGATTATCTTTTGTGATATATGAATTACGATTTTTATTCCAGATTAAGTAGTTTCAGATTTAGTAGAAGACATTTTAGTCAAGATTCTGATAAAGCAAGACAAGTTACACAATTGCCTCCATTATCAGAGCCTGTACCAAATTTACCACCTATAGTATACTCATCGGCAAAATCTGAAGATGCTCTTACTGAAGTTACAGTTTTAAGTAATGGTTTACGGGTTGCATCGGAAAAGAAATTTGGACAATTCTGTACAGCAGGAGGTAGGTTACGTATTTATTTTTAATGCTTTGAAACTTAATTATTTTCTGTGGCTGATATGTTTTAAATGTCAAAGGCAGTAGATGCCAGAAACATCAATTGCACAAATTGTCCAGCTTGTATGGTGCAATACCAAGACTGTACAGACGACAGTCTTAAAGTAGAAGTAATTCTGCATATTGATGTGTGCTAGACATAATTTTAGGCCCTTTTCCCCTCCCAAACTTTTCTTATTAAGATAGGATGGGTAAGGAAAGTGAATCTGACCAAGATACTTAAAAATGGGTAATATCCTCTATATGTGTGTCTCTCCTCCAACAATAAATATTAGACAAGGCATCTGCATGTATGGGCAATGGTCACTTCGCTATTATGGCGAATTAAAGTGGCCTCTTGCATTTGTGCCACCTTACGATGTAACAAACTATATACTAGAAATATTTAAAATTTTTATCTCAATTGTTTTAGTGGTAATTGATTCTGGGCCAAGATATGAAGTTGCATATCCAAGTGGTATCTGTCATTTTCTTGAAAAATTAAGTTTTGGTGTAAGTATTAAACTTCACTTGTATATTGTACAAGTATTAATTTAGTTATCTTACTTTGACTACTACATATCCAAAGACGGATGGATGTTTGTTGTGACATATTTTAAAATTGCTTAACGGTTTGTGGTGATCCTTGACATAGTTTGCAAAAAAAGGCTAAATATGAAGTATTTTTCTTATTCCGAGGAACTAGTTTTTTTTATTTCATCAAGTTTTTTTAACAAATAACTAATAAATAATATGATTAACTTTTTTTATGGATCCCATTATTTTTCACATAAATTAAGTCACATATAATATTTTAGGCCACACATAAGTTCCCTACGAGAGATGTGATGCTAAGGGAATTAGAAAGACATGGTGGCATATGTGACTGTCAGGGTTCCCGTGACACAACTGTCTATGCCACCAGCGCTGATTCCAGAGGACTTGAAGCCATTACTCAGGTATCTCTTCATATTAATTTTAATAATAATATTTATGATCTAGTAAAAAAAGTAGTGTTTTATAGTATATAATTCAGATTCAACTTGACAAAAAAGACACTAATTTTATTTAGGGTCTAAATTATTTTTATACATTTAAATTAAAATTGTTAAATATGTATGTAATGGAATTCAATAAAATAATAAAACAAGTATTGAAATAACTCAGAAACAACTGGGCCGATTTCAAAAATTCTTTCACTATTAAAATTTATGTTATCAGTAACATAGGCTATATTTTTTTATTCAATTTATAATGCAGCGTGAGCGAAGTCGCGAGAAACAAATAGCAGTAAATATAGTGTATCAGCTTTAATGTCCATGATTTTGATAGGTTTTGGCGGAAGTGACCCTGAGGCCACAGTTGTCTACAGATGAAGTGGAGGCAGCCAGACAAGCGGTCGCTTTTGAACTTGAAACACTCTCTATGCGGCCAGAACAGGAAACTATTTTAATGGACATGATCCATGCAGTATGTATTTTTTT